AGCCAACCCGACTCCCCAAACCACTGAGCCAACCCGACTCCCCAAACCACTGAGCCAACCCGTCTCCCCAAACCACTCAGCCAACCCAACTCCCCAGACCACTCAGCCAACCCGACTCCCCAGACCACCCAGCCAACCCGACTCCCCCCTTTGAGATTCCTACATGATCGCAGACCCACTGAACGGATGCCGTGACTCGTTTCCTACCTGTAAACGGTATCCGGTAGCTCGTCCAGCAGCTTGAAGCAGCCCGGTAGCATGTTATTGACAAACTCATCCAAGAGGCTCTTGTCCAAGGGGGGCTCCTCCGGGATGCGGTCGCTGGCCAGCCGTTCCTTCTCCTTGGCCGCCTCCTGCTCCTTCTTGGCTCTCTCGTCTTCCTCCTTCTTCTTCCTCTCCTCCTCCTGGAGAGCAAAGCAGTGATGTGAGTTGAAATATGCAGACATGTCCTGATGCCTGACTTGAAAGAGATAATACTTTGTGCACACAACAGTTTGAGAGTCAATGTATCTGGCACATTTTCACTTCGAACAAATCACAACTGTAACCTTGTGTGGTTAAAGGATGTGCAATCTGAAGTGTTGACGAAAGGCAAATTTCAATGGACCTTGATTTGATGCCAGATGGCAGCTGCTTCTTGGATTTTAGCTGGTTTCTGAAAGAGGTTATCATTCAATGAGATGAAACCTCAACAGGTCAGAATAATTCTTCAAATCCAGCATGCTGGGCCTCGGGGGTTTTTCAGGCTTTTGGCTTAAAGCTTACCTCCTGGTCTGAAGGCATCTGGATTGACTCTCCCAGCGACATGGCGATCGCTCGCATCATTTCCTCCTCCTCAGAGAGACCTGTGCCAAAACCCTGCAAGACAGACCACAGGCAGAGAGCCGATAGACAGCTGCACATGAAATGCTTACAGATAAAATGCAAGAATTCCACACCCTTAACCCAAATGGCACGTAGGAAAATGATTTAAGGAGTTTCTTGGAAAAACGAGGTGAACGCCTGCGTGTAGAAAAGAAATGCAGTGAAAAATGAAAAAAAAAAAAAAACGACACTAACATTCATTCCAAGTGCACTTTTTCTGCAAAGCTTCCTAAATCTGTCACGGTAAATAAATAAAGCATTCCTCTGTACTTAAAACTGGGACCCACTGCCTAATTTATCTGGGTTGCAAGGTCTTGAATCTATCTATGTGCTGTGTCAAAAAAACAAGCATGTGATTTTGTTTGATGGAATAGAGTTTACCATCGCACTGTCAGTAATGTTACCCAGCAGGTATTGGGAGCTGAGACTACCTTCCAACTGACAGGCTTCATGCCGCTGAAAGAATGAATGGTTTTGGAACAAAAACCAAGAGTGGGAGAGTTGATGAATGCTGACACACCACCCACACCCAGGACTGGCATCAGACATACTCGGTTATGGCAAGAGATACACTCAGTTATGGCAACAGACGCAACCAGTTTGGGAAATAGACACACTCAGTTATGACAACAGACACACTCAGTCATGGCAATAGACATAACCAGTTTGGGCAATAGACACACTCAGTTATGACAATAGACACACTCAGTCATGGCAACAGACACACCCAGTCATGGCAATAGACACACCCAGTTATGGCAAAAGAGACACTCAGTCATGGCAACAGACACACCCAGTTATGGCTATAGACACACTCAGTTAGGGCAATAGACACACTCAGTTAAGGCAATAGACACACTCAGCTATGACAATAGACACACTCAGTTATGGTAATAGACACATTCAGTCATGGCAATAGACACACTCAGTTATGGTAATAGACACATTCAGTCATGGCAATAGACACACTCAGTTATGGCAATAGACACACTCAGTTATGGCAATAGACACACTCAGTTATGGCAATAGACACACTCAGCTATGACAATAGACACTCTCAGTTATGGTAATAGACACATTCAGTTATGGCAATAGACAAACCCAGTTATGGTAATAGACACACTCAGTTATGGCAATAGACACACTCAGTTATGGCAATAGACACACTCAGTTATGGCATGAGACACAGCAATAGACTGGTGGGTACTCACTGCAGTTATTGATGGTGGGTGGGTCAGGGCCCATTCTGCTGCCTGCTCCAGTGACGTTGTGTGCTGCAGGGCTTCCCTTGCATGGTCACGGGAGAAACCCATGTCGATGAGCTGCAACCAGAAATAAAATGAACAAGCCCGTAACAACGTTGCAATTGAGACTACAACAAGCCCCGTCACAAAAATGGTCCCAAGTAGCAGGGTGAACAGTGCCAAAGGAACGCTTTGGTGACAGCTCATTTGAATAGCTTGTGAAATGAACTCGGACTGAAGGTCTCGGCTTGGTCTTGTGGGGTCTCGACTACAAAACTGGCTGGTTTCTGATGATTATGTGGCCTAAAAAATAGGGTTTACGACTTGCGATCATAGGGTCAGGGATTCAAATCCAGCGGCTTGGTACAAATTGTGACCCTGGGAAGTCAATGTATCCCTACTGCCTTTCTTCATCCAGAGTATCAATTGGTCCCCATAGGGGTACGGGCTAGCTGTGAACTGATATCCACTGCCGACATTGGTCTTAAATTCCTAGTGAGCAGGGGTGATTACAACTGTAACACAGCTACGAGCCGTATTGCTGAATTTATGATGTCAGTGAATGCGATTCTGCAAAAGGATGCATTCTAGCCATGGGAAGGTTGATTGGCTGAGTTGTTGACATTTCATACCTGCTGTACATGTTCTTCATTCGGCTCAGCTCGCGGCCGACTTCTGCCGAGCAACCCGGATGCATCAAAGAGACCAGAGTCCCCCAGTAGCCTGGAGCTGACCAGGGCCGAGGAGGAAGAGGACGGTCCGCCGCCAGAGACCGACGAGCCGCCGGCTGACGATCCGCTAGCGGCCTCGCCCGCCGCCGCAACTGCTGCGGCAGCCGCCTCGTCCGCCTTCTCCTTCTCCAGCCGCTCCCGGACCACAGCCTCACCGCGCAGGATGTGGCACAGGATGGCCAGCAACGACTCCGACATGCGGCCACCGTACACCTTGAGGGGCCGGCGCTCCCACAGGCTGGCCACGGCCCCAAAGGCTGCCTTGTGCGTGCTGATCAGGAACTGGGCAGGGCTGAAGGGGGCGTGGGCCGCCCTGCCCGGCGAGGCCCGGGCCGGGAGAGAGTGGGGCGAATCCAGCACCGCCTCAGGGTTCACCAGCTTCTCGATGAGCACCAGCCAAACGTCCAGGAATTCTCCGGTGCCCTCTGTGGGAACAGCAGAAACAGAACGTAATGTTTTTATCGGTTATCTTACCAGAAAGGACACCAAGGAAGTACAACGCCTGAAAAATGAAAGCGGTTGGATCTTATTCAGCCTTAAGAATGTGGGGAGGAACTGCATCTGTGAGTATGTGGTCTCGTAACGAGTCCAATGAATACCACATGACCAAGTGCAAGCTCTGGTTTGTTGCAGACAAGCTGAGAATCCACATTCTCCTTCTTTTGCTTACTGGGAAACCCGTACGCTCATTGTGCATAAGGGATCTTCAGCATATCAATTACGCCGCAGGTGAGCTGCTGTGCACTCCACGAAATGCCCAAATGAAAATGCCATTGCTCTCAAAAGCAATGGAGCTGTTTTCTGATACCACCTCTTGACTAATTTTGGCCCCTTTTGAGAAACAGCTTTCACATCTTCCAGTGAAATGTGTGAGTGACTTGGCATATCCCATTAGAGTACAATCAGAGAACAAGGTTTTACGACAGTCCTCTGAGATGTTGCTTTCAAAACCACCGCATCTGTGAATGATGCGATGCATTGCAAACAAGATCCTTTTATCACAAACTTACCAGGAAGTTCAGCGTGTTCCAAACCTTCCGATGTGGGGACCTTTCCGCCCATGGACAGGGCCCAGTTAAATGCCCTAGAACCAAAAAAATACGACCATCACAACACTGCATTCCATTTCCCTATTTTCCGATGTTCTCTGTCTCACTAGCAAACCAAAACAGAATCTCAAATATGAGACATTCCCAGAAAGCAAAAAAGCCCTATTAGACATCGTGAATGTATTTTACATGCGCTATTGCCGGCAAAGTTTAATTTCTGTCCCGACTCATCCCGTGCTGAATGACGGCGCGACTTACTCAAAGACGGCAGTGTGAGCACCGGACGTCATGAATTTCTGCAGCATGAGATGGTAGGGGTTCTTCTTCTCATCAAAGAGCATGGAGGAGGCAAAGCTGACGGCACAGATGTAGAAGGTAAGCCTGCAGGGTGGTATACACAAATATAAAAATGATTGAGAGTTCGTTCGAGAAATACGGTTCACCACGGTTTGACCAACTTCAATCAAACGTACACTCTTAATCAATTTCTTTCGTTTGGGACAGCAGAAGTTAGAGGACGCCCTCCAGGTGCCGCAACCAGCCCACTGTGATGTCCTCGAGTGCTGTGAGGTCTGCAACAAGGTCTGCAAAGGTGAAGGACTGCGCAGCACAGGCAGCTGATGTGCACAGACCCCAGCAATAAATATTGCCGTTGAACCAGCCCATCCCCGTTCCAAACTGGTTCATGGTGATCTACTCCTTGCGGGGCATGTCTGGTCCCCAATGCTCTGATCTGATCCCTCTAACCCTAATGAAATAAACGCCAAATCATGTGAACTCTGCAACAAGGTTTTGGAGAATTTTGCAGGACCGAGGAAGTTAAATTTACAAGTACCTCACAAAGGGCTTGATACTGAAAGTTCAGGGGAGGGACTGTGCAACTGCGTTCAAGCACAATGGTTGATACTGGGGGGGTCAAGGAAGATTCCTACCAAAAATGCCACAGGTGCTAAGCTTCACAACGACTAACCTGCTTTCAACATACCTGAATTTTGGCAGTGGGCAAGCAGGTGGGGGTGTCCAAGACAAACTGCTGGCCAGCAGGTCGGTCAGGGCCTTGGCCGTATTCCTGGCCGCCTCAGATGGCGAGTTCACGTTGGGCTGCAGCTGTTGGCGGCTGCGCTGCCGCCCGGCCGAGCCCACACACAGCTTGACCAGTAGGCCAAAGAGCTCCGACAGTGCCTTGCCCAGGCGGGAGGGGGCGTAGAGGACCGGCATGGCCTGACGCAGTTGCCGAAGCATCTGCTGGCTCATCTTGGGCTTGGTCCCTGCTCCCCGGCTGTCCTTTCCCTCAGGCTTGGTAGAGTCCTCCACTTCCATCGGGGACAGGGCCATGTCACTAACATCCATTAGGGAGCTTCCGGCTATACCTGCGTCCAGCTCCCCAGTCCTTGGAGCACCTTCAGGGTCCTCAGACTTGGGGTCCTCGGTCTTGGAGTCCTCAGACTTGGAGTCCTCAGACTTCCGGCTGGGCTTGGAGGCATCATCCACTAGCACCTGAATCTCCTTGGGCAGGAGTTTCTCCTTCTCGGCCTTGCCTAGGTCGCAGCCCTCCGGCAGAGCCCCGGGGGTGAAGAGAGCCAAGAGCACAATGCTCTCCCAGACCAGGGAGGTGTAGAGCTTGCTCAGGCCACGCAGGACGGACTGGCCCAGGTCTGAACCCCACTGGTTCACTGATATGGTACGTACATCACTCTGTGCCCACAAAAAAAAAGACCAGTCACAATGCTTCAAGTACAATCACAACTTTTGAGCATAACTGCGTAATTAATTGGAAATTGATTGCCGTTTCCCAAAAAATCTTTCAGTGCTCTATATACCTTTTTTTCAACAAATTTAGAAAACTGGTAACAAATATTTAATAACCCTAACGCTGATAGATGCAGCATAGTGCGACTGGTGTATAAGTCTGGTGCGCAATGTTGTACTGAGCAATCAACAGCAGCTGAACTAACTACCCATGTTGAGACAATGGGAGCTAGTCCCACTGAACTGGCAACCACAGACTCCCAGGCTGCTTGGCCTTGGGGGAAGTTGACCTGTTGTATCTCTTTATACTGGGCGGGCAAGCCACTTTGACAATTGACGCAGACCGACGTGCCTGGTAGGGTTTTTAGCCAAAGTACACTGGACGGCTGGGGTCAAGACACAGACGTTCAACTCACCTGACCCACCCTGCACACGTGTACGAACATGGTGACGTAGGCGTGGGCAGAGGCCATGGCATGCAGCAGGGGCGTGGCCTGTGCCGACTGGGGGGCCTCAGAGATGTTAGGCGTGTTGACCAGCTCCCTGAGGAGCACGGAGCCCCCCGGGGCGCCCAGGGGGTGGTGGAGGGGCTCAAGGGACTGTAGCACATCGTTGAGGTACAGGAGGCCTTGCTTCAGGACCGACGTCTCGTGGGCAAGGGACTGCCAAAAAAGAATGACCGGAGAGATGTAAGTCAGCCTTTATTTCAGGAAAGTTTTATAGTCCAGCCCTCAGTCAAGCTGGTCTCTGATTAAACTTAAGGTCACATTTATAGTATCAGTTTTGCCTCCGGCTTTGGCTCCATTTCAGTCTTTTGAATCATTCTAAAAAAAGGAAGAAAAAAAGGAAGAGCTCCAAAACTCGGCATTGCAAGAGGTTATTAAAACATGTTTGTTACAGGAAACAGAGCTCTACTAGGCCAGCGGGTTTCAACTCAAGGGCTTCATCTACTCTGACAACGATCAGCCCCTCATTGGAACAGAAGAGACAGGCAAGTGGAAAGTTTTTCAACCTGGGACTAGAAAGCGCCTGGTGCACTCACAAAGACTTTACATCCAAAATGAAATTGGACGCATGGCCACAACACCCTTGCACGAACATGTGCCCGCGAGCGGTGAGTTCCCAACAAAGGCATGACCAATTGGCATTGCTGCTATGTAAAACATGCCATCTCTTGTTGCTATAGGGACGAGATAATTGAACCTTTCTCCTGAACCCGAAGAAGGACGTAGAGCCACGTCCTCTAAGTAGAGAGGCAAAAACCCAACACGGTATAAACTTACAAGGACCGACTTGCAGACTCCAGCCACGGCCTGGCAGGCTGGGTTGGAGGGGAAGTCGATCGGCATGTTGGGCAGGCCTAGGATGCCCATCAGCGGGACCAGACCCTTCTGGTTGACAAACTCCCTGCAGTGGTCGTCCGTGGCGTTGTTGCTGAGGATGGCCTCCACGAATTTCATCTGAAACCATACAGAGGGGTGGGGGTAAAAAAAGTGACTGAAAAGTTGGTCTCGTTTTTGTCATTTGAGACCACACCCAATGTAAGAAAATCTTAGGCCATTAGGAAAACACAGACTTTGAGGTAACGTACCACATTCAGGATGTAGTCAAGCAGTGGAATAGGTGTCTTGACTTCTGGGCCTAAGGATCTGCAACACCAAGCCATAACAAGAAGGCAAATCAAATGAAGGCCAGTCTCAGACAGACGATCATCACATTGCTTCCAGCATGTCATTCAAATGCAGTGAACAAGTGGGCGCGTAAACCCAAACCTCTGCAAAGCCAGAATGCTTGGTTCAAGAAATCTGAAATCTGGACAGATCCTGTACAATCACATCCCTGCAACACAATGCCACGAGAACCCCCCACTCAAGCCCATTAAACCCCTCCCTTCCCCCTCCCTTTATTCTTACGGCTGCATCTCGGCTTCCGTCTTGAGCGCGCTGGTCTGGCTCATGGTGCTGGCGATCTCGTCCTCGTCCTCCTCGTCGTCGCTGGATGTGTCGTTGCCTGCGTCGCCGTCCAGGTTGCCGGACGGGGCACCGTTGCCGGCGCCGCCTCCCCCTTCCTGCACCTTGGTCTTGGATGGGGTGCGACTGCAGGTGTACTTGGGATCGCGGCCCAGCACACAGATCTCCTCCAGCAACTGTCAATGCAGAGCACATTCGAGAATTGTTTACCTGAAAATCTGAACCAAACCTTGCACAAAACTGCAAGGCTTCCAGCCAAACAGGGAACGACTTACTGTCCTCAATGCTTCACCTATCATAGAATCGAGGACTGTTAGGGTTAAACCAAAACATCTTAGGAAAACGATGGTAACTCCTTATGGTTTACAAGCATTTTTTCCCACACGACTTTAAATCAATCTTTGTAGAAAGTTTCACTGAGTAGATTATAATTTATCCAACTGAACAATCTTCAACTACTGGAACCAATGTATTCGATCGATACATATGAAACAAAAACTTTTTGCTTCATTAATTATTGATGTCTTTTTGAAGTAGATCTTGCAAGAGAAAACAAAACCATGTACCAAAGGACTTCCTTTTTAAATGTGCACATCATTTTAGCACACTGAACATTTACTGTCCGTTGGAGTTAATGTTGCATTAGTGTTTATCCACACAACCCTGGGAGAAAAGATTGCATGGGGAACTACAATGCACTCCCAATTCAATTTTAAGAAGTTACATAAACTGCAAATTATTTCTTACACTGGGTAGACTGTCCAATTAGCTTTTTGGTGCATAATTAACTTAACTATCAAATCCACCCGGAGCTTTTTAAAGGAAGGTACACAGATTCCCGTGTCCCTTAAAAGTTTAAGTATAAAGAAAGTGCAACTGGTCTCCCAACTGGCGGAGGATACATTTAGACAGTCTGTTTTGATCCGTCTAAAAGTCCTCTGCTGTATAGGAACCCTATAGCACATTGTATGCACTGTCAACTCATTTCAGGAGGCATCAAATCCAATGCTACTCTACAGCACCAAATCTGCATCTTCCTCGATCTTGAAAAATCTTCCAAAAACCCTCGAAGTGGATCTTTAAGGATCCGGGTAGGTTAGGGTTGAACCAAGTACTCTCATGGAAGACACTACTTTTCAATGGGTACTTGTTATTATATCAGGCCAAGACGGCTGGTTCTGACCTTGATGATGGCCTTCATCGCGTCTGCCTTCAGCAAGGGCTGGTGTCGCATGAGCTCGTCCATTGCACTGCCCAGGGACGATGCGGTGTCACCTAGTTGGAATGATGGCAAGGGGGAAGAAAGATACATTCTGTCGATTTCAATTTCAATTTCGCATTCCTGTTTGTCAGGCTTTGAAGGCAAATTCTCATTTGTCCTTCCCCCGAAGAAAAAATAACTCTCTCGGTCATTACAGAGCCTTCTCTAACTTCTGACAAAAGCCCAAAGCTGGACCTCTTGGGACCTTGCGAAACAGAATTGACCTAATCAAATACATAGTACTCTCATGTCAGTGTCTGTAAGACCTCTAGAAAAAGAGAAGTCCAGCAATCTAAAAAAACTGCCAGTGATGCCCAATCTTAGCAGCAAATCTGAGGGGACGTTATCGCTGCAGTGACCCCGCATCCATGCACACATCACACACATTCAACTTTTGTCATGCTTTCATTTTGACAAGTTGGCGACGCCTTATTGGTAAGAGGGGAACATAGCGCCCCTATAGATCCAGCATGAGAGCATCGTACCAATGCAATAATGGCTTCTAATAATGGTCGCTGGATTAGTCTATAAAGCAGACTCCAATAAATTGATTTGTGGTCCACAAAACAAGTGGTCAAAGGACCGCATGGCAATCAGAATTGGATATAAGGGATTATTGCAGTTCTATGTACCAAAATGCAGCAATTCGTCCCGAATGAGAAACTGTCTTGTTTGAAAGCTCTGTCTTACCCAGGGCATCGTTGCTGCGCCGTCTCTTCATGGCTGGCAGGTAGGTTGGCGACAGCAGCACCTTGAAGAGCTTGTCGAACGGCTTGCACTGGACGAAGGCGTTCAGCCCCCGGGCGTTGAGGCAGAGAGCACTGAAGATGTTGGGAAGGGAGCCCAGGACCTCCTTGGTGGCTGGAACCTGTAAGGAGGGAGCCCATAAAGGCAGCATCTTCCCATCAGTAACAAGCTCCTATCAGAGGACATTGATTGCAACAGGATTTGAACCACCCAGCTTGCCTTGGCAAGCTCAGCAGCGGAATGGTAATGATACATCTTCACTATCAGACAAGCAGCAGGTTTGAGATGGTTAAAGTATGGAATAATTTGTGAAGCTTCTCTCATCAGGTCTCAAGAAGTTTCATAGCATCCAATGTATTAAACATGGGTGAAGGATGCAATTCTAGTTGCGTATTTTGACAAAGAATCAAGTTCCAGTACAGTGAATATTTCGAGTATCTATCTCACGTCATGATCTAAGCTTTGATCAACCCAAAGAAAATCTTCGTTCTACTTCATTGTTTGCCAGCACTGTATGCCTTGCTCATTTCACTCATGAGGAAAGGAAACGGATGTTGACTTTCATAATTAATTCCAAAGGGTTTAACCATCTTTAGAGCACATTGTATTACTTTTCAAGCTGACTTGGTATTCCATGTACAAAGGGATACACGTTTCCAGGCCTGTGGTAGAGAAACACACATCTCTAAGATCGCCTATCCCACTGTCTTGTTACTGTCGCATTGCTACTTATCCACAAAGTCTTGGTTTATCACCGACAGTGTGGGGAACCACAATGCATCCATGGCTAACAGCCTAACACTGCCGAAATGCTATCCTGGCATGTGACGCTCAAAGTACACCAGATTATGGAGGATTCTGATGGGTTAAAGGAAGGCAGGTCCCTGTAACAGGTGCTTAACAAAAGATCTGAATACCCCAAGGATTCACAGTGAAGAAGAACATAAAAACTTCAAAGTTAGTGATGTAAGTGTGGGAAGCCCAACGCAGAATTGTGCCGAAAAGGTCGGTTCAAGGAGAAGGGAACTTACATCCTTGATCAGGAGTGCATGGAGCATGACGTCAGTCAGACCGGTGTCTTGCAGCGAGGAGAGGAGAGAGGGTTCTTGGAACACGTACACTGTCACCAACTCACAGGCTGGAGGGATTCAAGGAAAACATACCGTGGCCGTTACGCGAGAGTCCAAGGTAGGAAGGCACGAGTTTAATATCCTTGACGAGGAGTACATGATTACGATCAGGGCGGCTTGGCCTTGTGTCAAGTTTAACCATGTTTGACGACACTTTTCCCCCTAAGGCACATCTGTACCCTCACTTTTGTTTTTGCTCCTTTTCATTTTGTTACGGGCAGGTAGTTAAGTCTTTAAGTGTCAGAAAAAGAATCGGGATATTTGGAGAAGACGCCAAACACACCCCTTTCACTCACCTAAGAGAAACAGCGAGGGACCGTAATACTCGGCATTGCTGATGATGTGCTTCAGGGAACTAGGCAGGGTACCGTCCATCACTGCAGTGAAATCAGGGCAGTCAGAAAACAAATGTTTACAATATTAAAACTACGGACCCTATCTCAAAAGTGTCTGAAGTTAAAGGAGGGATTTCAGACAAGTGACTTCAGAGATGACAGCAGGTATGAGAGACTGCCTTGTTTGTCTTCCCCCTGTCGAAACGTTTGTAATAACAAACTTTAACTCTTAGTTCAGTGTTTTAGCAAAAACCAATAGCATATTTATTGTTCTTACCAATGAAATATTGAGCCCATGGTAAAGAAATCACAGCTGAGCTAGACAGTCCTGATTCTAAAACAAGGAAGCCAAACTGCAGCAATAGATGGGGCTATAAATCAAGCATCCTTTTTGTCCTCCGCCACGCAGAAAATGACAACACAAAATGACTTTAAAAAGCTGCTGTAATGTCTTCTGTGGGGTTTTTTTTTGTGGTCCCCGAAAAAACTGGTAAAAGCCCAGTCCTTCCATACAGAATCCTGTCTCCATTGTGAGGACGAGAGGTTAAAACTGGAGAAGGGGTTAATCCCCCTTTTTCCTGACGAGAGATGGATTGCATGGTCACAATTTTGTAATTTTGAACAGGCCTTTCACACAATCTCTCAACAGGAATTCACCATATTCCAATTTACATGAAAGGATCTGGCACACAAGTAAGCCCTCCAAACGATCACCTACCGTGCCTGATGCTGTCGGAGAACGCTGGATCTGGGATGGCCTTCTTCAGGAAGTTCAGCATGGACTTGAGCAGCGCCGCCCTCTGGGGAAAGCACTGTGCACCTGTTGACAAGAGAAGGAAAGATTCCATATACGGCCGCCAACAATTATTCCCTTGAGTGACTTAACAGCCATCAGAAAGCAAAAACATGTCCAGAAACGTTCAATTTAGGAAGGAAAATACCGAGTCATTTACGTAGACAACACTTAAACTTTCAGACCAGTCTCAAACGGTTTATGCACGGGTGTCAAATGGCATCTGCATATGGAACTCTTTCCCAGGGATCATACTGTTAGACGATAAACTCTCCAACATTCTGAACTTAGTGTTTCGCTGCATACTCAGCCAAAGGGATCATACTGTCAGACAATAAACCCTCGCACATTCTGAGCTCAGTGTTTCGCTGCATACTCAGCCAAAGGGATGGGTGATTCCAGAAATTAGGGATCCATTTTTTTCTGTGTCCCTATCTGACATATGATTTTGTAAGTTTAGAACACACTTTCTAATTTCCAAGAGTGATGAATTAATGCAAATTACCTGCCAAACAAACAATAATAGTTTGAAATCAGTTCATATGATATTTCCATGTCAAATAACAAAGGTTTGTAATAATTAAAGGTCACATTCTCAAACAGTGCCTGAAATGAACCTGTCTACACGTTCTCAAATTCATGGTCAAAGAATGTAAAGTGATTAACAACTGGACCTACTTTGAAACATTATTCCAGATGACAATGTTCATTGTCCCATTCCTGTATGTAAGTTTGCACAATTACAGGGGAAACGTCTCAACTTGCCCTTCTTCTTAGCCCCTCCCCTTAACCCCTCCCCCACCCTCTTAGNCCACCCCCTTAGCCCCTCCCCCACCCCCTTAGCCCCTCCCCCACCCCCTTAAGGTCTACAACCAGAAGCAAGAACTGACCGTCAGTTTTTCTCTTCTTGTCCTTGGGGCCGCTGCCTCCAGCCCCCTCCTCCTTGCTCCCACTGACTCCGCCCCCTCCTCCGTCCACCGAGTCCAGCTCCATTGAGTCCTCCGCGTAGTGAGCCGGGGAGTAGGAGCCATCGTGGTCGCCGCTGATGCTGGGCCGCAGGACAAATGGGGCCTGCTTCCGACAGATGGCTACTTCGTGCTGGGTTTTGAAAAACATACAACTGGTTTATTTCCTCTCACAGTGGAATTTGACATGTAGAATTAGAAGCCATTACTGCGGTGGCACAACCTTCATGGACAGCTTGTCCGCACCTGTTACATGCCTCTTCGACCAATAGGGTGTCATGATTTGCAAACACGGACAAGCGCGTCAAGCTGAAGAGTGTGCCACCACAGTTATGGTGTCCGATCGGATCAGCCAGTTGTTGTGCGTAAGGCACCTTCTGACTCAGTAAATGCATTTGTCAGTGGGAAAGTTCCCCTTGTTTTGGCTGAGAGGCAGAAGGGCCTTCTGTGAGAGCGACAGGCTTGACTTTCATAAAAACTGGTCTTACATCAGCCCCTGAAGACATCTTTAAACAATTGGCTAGCAACCATTCCAAAACCAGGTTGAAGTGAGTCATTTTGATGCAACACAATGCTTCTTCCTACTGTTAAGCTGTGTTTGCAAAGTAATCTGAAGTAAAAAAAAATTGGCTACAGAAGGCATCGTTGGTCAGTCGCAGTGGAAGCTATGAAGTTGTGAACTGTTCGTATCTACACCGGCACAAGCTTAAAGTTGCTCAGCCTTGGTTTTGGAAAACTGAGGCAACATTTATGGCTTCTTGTGCACGTGTACCTCCAATCTGTTGATGAACGTGGAGAGTCCTTGGTGTGTCTGGAAGGCAGCCATGTCTAGATTGGTGATCAAGTCCACCACCCTGACGGCCCTCGTCACAAACTGCACAGAATGGACAAAAGGAAGATCCACATTTCAGAATGTCAACCAGCATAGCAACATGCACCTGTACAGGTGCGTTAAAACCAGCATAGCAACATGCACCTGTACAGGTGCGTTAACACATTCACTGGTAATTCAGTTTGGTGAAAGAGTACAGAATACCTTCTGTGTAGTGGTGATGTTGCCTGTGAAGTATTTAGGGGTAAAAAAAAAACTGATCGCACGTGGGTTTAATGCATGATAGTTACAGCTCCCACACTGGGACAGAATGGAAGGTTTTTCAGCAGGCCAAGAGCAAGGAGGGTTGAAATGTGGAATAATGCAACGGCCGGTAGCCTGTCATTGCTCAGCAAGTATTTCCTGTGTGAAGCAACTTTCCACACTGGCCAGCACCACGAGCTTGGCCAGACAAGTGCCGACTGCTCACCGTGGTGTGGATTTGTTCGTCCTCCCCGGGCCATTTGATGACTTTCAGCAGCGACTCCATCATTCCGCAGGAGACCAATGCTTCTCCCCCTGTTGTAATAAAAAACACCAAAAACTTTAAACAAATAATGCAAAACTAGCTACAACCTTGACAATCGACTTTTTTTCTCAAACTTTAGATAGTATCAAAACAGCATCCTACATACATCAAAAGAAACTTTGGATTCCAAAGTCTTTTCAGTCCTCATTATCCATTTCTGGTAAAATCCAATCCAATGACACCAAGGTGCAACATAATCACACAATTTCCCCGAGCGTGCAGTAGGCAAGCTTTCGGTTGGCAACTGTAGATTAGGCAGTTTACACTAAACAGTGAGGCTTATTTTCGCATAATATAACCGTGAATTCTTTATCAAATGACATACCGGTCACCACCTGTGTCATGTACGGTTGTAGTTATATTATGCTGACCCAGCACTGGGTACTGGCTCTGCATTTTTCTCACACTGTTTGTGTTCATGAAGCTCTAAAGGCTTGCCCGCTACTCAAAGACAGTATACAGTACAGTGATCTTTGCCTGCGGCGATGGCACAGAAGTATGTTGTGTCATGTGGGTCGGTGAGAACACCCAAAGCGAGATTCCAGATGTAACAAGGTAATCTGCGAAGTCCCGAGGGCCTTATTATGAAGATTTCCCTCTACATAGGAAACAAACGAACAGCCTATGCCACAAAAATGGAAAGTCCTCCCAAACTTCTGTCTATCGGTGACAGTGGGCTAGCCTAATTTCTATCAAATAGTTTGAACTCCTAAGATGGGATTGTACTCGCCTGTTTCGTAGCTCGCTAGATGGTACAGGAATGAGAAGAGTGCTGTGGCCAGGGCGTGGGGGAATGCCTCCATGGTGGGATCTAAAAGTTGAATTTTAAAAAGCAGTATTTTAAACTTTCATTACATGTACCTCTTTTTTTTTCCCCCGTCAAAATATTTGACCTATAAAAACCAGCCCAACATCCACAGAGCTCCACACAACTATTTATACTACTCCTGGTGTGGCAACAAGTGTTGAACGGAGTTTGGTGGGCAAATAAATTTGCAAAAGCAAACTTTTCGGAGAGAAACTACCTGAAAGCTAGAGGGTCAGCTGAATTATTAGGCAAGCCATTTGCTGTTGTTTTCCACAGGGGCACAGGGCGAAAATAACAGATGAATCCAGCAACAGTTCCTTAGGCATTCCCAATGGCCCTTCAATGATGCAAAGCATTGTGTTAAAATTTGAGCGAGTGTTACAGAGAGTGGCTGCATACAGTTATCGCAAGACTTGGCACCATTAGTTGGGGGGGCTATTGTAAAGGACCAGTGACAGCACTATTACCATGGTTACAGGATTCTCTCATGGAGAGGGGTCTTGAGGGTTTATTGATCAGGCTGTGAAGTATTTCCTCACCTATCATCGCTTGTATGCACCTCCTGACCAACACCGGCAGGAACCCATGGTAGGACGAAGCTCCTGTTGCATCAATGATGTTTACCAATCTGAAAGAATATCGACAATGAAGCTGATTTAACTCGTGTAAGGTTGGCTGGCTACAAAATTAATGGAAAAGATAATGTCAAGAATGACAGCAAATCCTAGCATGGGTGGGAGCTCAAAGACCAGACAAGCCAAATCACTGGTGATTCCGACCTGCCATAACTCCATATGTGGACAGTAACCACATAAGTGTCATGAGCCATAAACCTGATGTTGGGGCCTGTCCACCCTAATCCCTAACCGTCCAAAATCCTCCAATTTCAATACGATTTTACATACACCCCCTTGGGGGTTAGGGTTAATCAATGGCACACTGGTCACCACTTGTGCCATGTTTTGTTGACATCATCATTCAAATCCAGTAGAGGGAACTGGCTCGGCATTTTTTGTCAGTGTGCTTACAATTTTTAAAGCTTTGCAGACTTGTTTACTATGTAAACACTGTACCTAGTACCGTGGTCTGTGCCTGTGATAATGGCGGATGTGAGAGCACCCCATACCAATGTTTGCGAGCCAATACAGTACAATGATGCAAACTTCCATTTTTATCACTGATGTGACAGGCTTTTTCTTTTTTTACTTACTTGGGGTTTCGGTCTAGGTGAATGATTGATGTCAACGTACGTAGTGAGGCTGCCTTGATATCCTAGGAGGGGAAAAAGAGGTACAATTTCATGTGTCCGTTGCTCAGTTAATTATGATTTCCCACGACACGGCCAGCTTTATTTATTTCGGGAGGTAATTTGAAGTTGCCATCTAAGCAATGATATTGAAAATATGGAGAATGCACGAATGCGAGGCCAGAACGACAAGAGATGCCAGATAAACTTACGACGAGCCTGAGGTCATCCAGCTCCAGAACATCTACCAACTCCTCCACCAGGCCGGAATACAGCAAGGAATTGGAGACCTCTTGGATTGCACTTGAGTAAACTACAACGGGGGGAGGGGAGTAGGATAGGACATCGGGGTTATCTCTTTGATGGCAGGATGTTAAATATAAATAGTAGGCCAGGAAAAGTCCAAACAAAAGCAGAAATCGGTCACACTGTTACTAACTAAAGTTTTATTTATCTCTCATTAACCAAAAACTCTTCAAAATATTGGAAATGGACACAGTAGGTCATACCCTTTACCTGTCTGTTTTGAAAACCTTTTGTTTGCAAATAATGAACAACGAGGGTGGGAAGAAACGTGAATTAATTCCGATTACATGTATGCACGGAATTACCCATCTTTATTTACAAGATTCAGAATTTGAGCAGATATGTTGATCTATTTCCCAATTCTGAGGGTATTTTTCTGCACTCGACCCGTGCAAAGAGTTCATCTTCAGCCACTCCAAATTCGATACGCATTACTTTTTCCACTGTGTCATATTCACAGTGCAAACAGGCAAGAAGATGACAAATACCCTTAAAAATAGCTTGAAGGGTGAGCCTTGGCCCCTTGTGGTGCGAACAGCTCTGGTAGGTCCGGAGAAAGTCAGGTAATGTATTGTAGATACAGTGCGCAGTGTAAGGTGGACACCATTAACCTCCAGCAACATCATGCCACAAATGTAAGGTTGTTATTTCATTGATTTCTAATGCCCACCATGTGAGGGCATAACAGAACATGCCAGTCTCTCATCAATTGCGGCTGTAGAAACTTCCCAGAACTATCATCGTAGGCAGACAATCGCAGGGCTGGTATCCACAAATCTCTTGCCCAAATCTGCTCTGTGATGACAGCGTTGACAGAAATGAACATCTTGCATTCTAGGCGGGAAGACTTCATTTCTGTTGGGCCTTACCACATATTGAAGTATTTCATGAGAGTTTGTTGGCTTGGGTCAGATTCTTTTGGTCTGAAATTAACTTTTTGGGAACGGACTGGAGTTTGTTGGATCTCAGTTGGGACAGTGGAGAGCCGCATGTGATTGGCACTTACCTAGGACAGACAGCGCCTGCAGTCTAGCTTGAACACACTGCATGCGCTTGTCGTGAGTAGCAAAGCAGTGAGCCAGTCGTATATGCGTGAACAGCAGCATCTACGTAGAGCGATGAAAGAGAAAGACTTGTGAGAGTTTCAACCTGAATTCATGCTGGCTCTATGAAGTTTCTAAGCACCTCCCTGTATCCTCTCATATACGCCAGAGTGCAGATATTTTTCGCCGCCTGGGCATTACCCTTCTCAATCTCCAAATATTTCCTTCCTCCCCCCCCCAAAAAAAAAAAAATTGTGGTGGATTTGGAGGCACTGAGTAGGTGTTACACTCTGCCCCTGTGGGAATCTGTTTATACTCAGCAAGCTAAGTCTTTGTGGTTGTTAGACCATGTTAGACTCGGCAGGTCAAACAAGTCCTAATAAATATTTTTCACAGGTCAGCCGCATTGAATTGAAAGTAGGGTTAACTTTTCAGTTTGGAAACCTGAGGGTAAAACTAATAAGCAATGATATAAAAGTATATTACAAATTAACATCACTTGATGCTGATCAAAAATTTCAAATTAATTATATGCGGCTGTGCCGAATATCCGAATATTCGATCGGTTATCAAATATTCGAATATAATTTTTCGAATTAGATATTCAAAGGCAAAATTCTTGTAAAGGAAGCGAAAATTTTCTTTTGTTTTAAATGAGGAAAATTGCTCTATGGAGACTTGTGTCGAGCAGATTTAAATGAAAAGTGACAGAAATCTTACGATTCAAAAAAGTAAATTATTCATTGAACAATTCAAAAGAAATAGAGATTTCCAACAGGGCCAGACATATTGTTCATCTCCTAATTTAAATCTTGCTAAATCATGGCTGGAGATACTCCTAGCTTTGAGAAGCTATTATATTGTACAAACTTGTGCATTATTGCAACTGATTTTGTACATGGTTTGTTCATCAATAATCTGCAGTCGGTACGACCGAAATTTCTGGTAATAGATCAAATTGAAGGTCGAATGTTCGAATCGTGAATTATTCGAATTGACCCAGCCCTGGGGTGTTTCAAGCCACACAAAAAAGGGCAAGTGCAGCTTGGAGCCAAACAATACTCTGGCACCATCACATTTAACAAAACACAAAATAAAAAAACACCTCGGGAACGCAAGTAATTATGGCTTGCCCATGAATAAAGGCTGTCGGCTTCTTCTGAATTCTTCTAATTTTCCACTCTTGGGGTTTCACAGACACTACAATTTGCTTTCTCTGAAATTTAGCAGGTCTCCCACATGCATTTCACTGGCTCTGTAGAAATCAGCCTGACCTCCCAATTCAAAAACCTGACAGGAAGAGGGTGTAGCATTCACGCCCAAAATGCATCAGCAGCAAATGTCAAGGAAACATTAAAGAAACAAATACCCACCTGTTTTTCCTTGGGTACATTGTAATTTTTCATCAAATCCTCCATGATTTCGGCCGGGCTGGCGGCAATCTAGGTGGGAAACAAGCAAAATGGAAATAATTCCGCTCTATAATTTCAGTGGCTCACTGGGTCGAGGCTTAGGGTCCCATCAGAGCAAGGCACTGAATTTACACAGTGACAATTGCATTTTGTCAGAAGGGCAAAACTGACTTCACGAGTCACGTCAACTTGATCCCAACTTCAACAAGAAGTGCAACTCATTTAAACATTAATTACACAATTAATACCCTTACAGATGCAAAAATTGAACAAAAGAGACACAACGTTAACTGCAACAAGAACAAATCATTTCAAAACATGTACGAAACTGGATGCCTACACGTAGCTCTTTCAGTTTTCAATTAGTCTTACTTTTGGGGGGGGGAGTGGTGATTTTTCATATGTGAAATGTGCTTGCAGGTCGTGACCTGGTGTGTTTCAAAGAAAAACTTGTGTAAAACTTTCTAAACTGAAGATGCGCGATAGTTGGTGGTGACACGATCTTATGAACACACAAGTAACAACAAAAGCATCTGCAAATTACAAAATCAGAGCGGCAAGGCAGAAATGGAACTTACTCTATCTACATTCTCCAAGTGTATCACCGTCACAGCATGAGGTGTGTGCTGTTAAATAAAGAATACACAGACATTTTTGAAGACATGTTTGATGACCGGTGCCACATATTGTAGTTTAATTGTACAGGTGCTTTGTTGGGATGTCACTAAGTTACTAAACTCCAGCACATGATTTGAATAGATTAGGCCAAACGTATTTGTAGTCATCTGTGCTATCATGAGATGTCACAGTTGCTCTGCTCACTTTTTTGGCCGGTCTGTCTTCTGGGGTGACCAATTCCGAATAGAACTCAAAATGAAGCGTTGTTGCACTGGTCGGCACCCTCTGTTGAGATTTTTTTAAAAAAATAATTTGCAATGAAAATAATAGAACTCAATCTAGACTAAAGACACCAATGTTTTTTGTCTGAGTTAATGCAAATAGGAGTGTCAAAATAAATCACACGCATGGCCAGAAATCCAACAGTGTAAGCTTCACTTGGTGTATGGCAGGGCTCAAGAATCCATCCCTGTGAGTGTCCCAGACAATGACTTTTCTCATACATGTATTAATAAGTTCTGTGGAGTTCAACTTCACACGACTGAGAAAACAGGCTTTGAAAAAGTGGAGTCAAATACAGACTTGGAAGACTCACTTTACATCTTCCCTGCAACCAACATCTTTCCTTTGAGCATTTTTGTTCAGAAAACCTAAAAAATTTTACTGATCAAAGATATTATTTCTGACAGGAAAAACTTAAATCCCACAAGAGATTTTAACTTTCTCAACATCTGAGTAGACCACTGCAGGGGAAGTGTACAGCAAAACTTGCATAGCCTTTTTCCCAGAACAGTTCATAGATGTACTGAATAGAATACAAACGTAACACAATACATTCCTTCGGCATAAAAATCCTTCACGAATGGTGGCACTACCATAGCAACTCATGACATCCACTCGTGAAAGATTTATATTCAGTCCAAAAGGTGAGTGCACGCGTAGGTGTCCAATGTTCACGCATTCTGAAAGAGGTTTTTACGGGGGGCAGGTATTGAGATCTTTTTAAGGGGGTAGTTTTCTGTGTTGACTAATAGTCTAAGTACTGTACTAGAAATGACTGCACTTTTGTCTGCTTCCAATATGTTTTGTATTCCAGCGGTCGATTATTTTAAACAGAGTGCTTGATTTGTGTATACACGTATGTCAACGTTATACAAATTGAAAAGCCAGTCAAATGAGAAAATTTGGTGCAGAAAGTATTCCATATATGTACCGGTAGGTGTCATGTTTGGTCAGGTAGGTGTCATGTTTAGACATGCAGGTGTCATGTTTAAACTCCTCGGTTTGGGTCCATTCTGAGAGCATACTGCCAGGCCGAATCCGCTGTCACGTAAGTACCGGCAGGTGTCATGTTCAGTCATGCAGGTGTCATGTTTAGACATGCAGGCGTCATGTTTAGACATGCAGGCATCATGTTTGAACTCACCGGTTTGGGTCCATTCTGAGAGCACACTGCCAGGCCAAATCTGTTGTCATGTATGTACCGGTACATGTAGGTATCATGTTCAGTCATGCAGGTGTCATGTGAGGACATGCAGGTGTCATGTTTGAACTCACAGGTTTGGGTCCATTCTGAGAGCACAATGCCAGGCCAAATCTGTTGTCATGTATGTACCAGTAGGTGTCATGTTTGGTCAGGCAGGTGTCATGTTTAGACATGCAGGTGTCATGTTTGAACTCACCGGTTTGGGTCCATTCTGAGAGCACTCTGCCAGGCCAAATCTGTTGTCATGTATGTACCGTTACATGTAGGTGTCATGTTCGGTCAGGCAGGTGTCATGTTTAGACATGCAGGTGTCATGTTTGAACTCACCGGTTTGGGTCCATTCTGACAGCACTCTGCCAGGCCAAATCCGTTGTCTTTACCGCCCCAACTCTCCGCTAGGTACGTCAGCCGACTGAAAAGTTCCTGGCGCTTCTCTGCCGCAAGCTTGATAAGGAAGTTGGACCGCTTGCTACCAGAAATGAATTTAAAACAAAGAGAAAACTTTACGGTTTCATTTTACTGTGCCAAGATATCTGTACATGTACTTGAAGATAATGATTCAAGGTAATGATTTAGTGTGACAAAATGGTCAAAGAGAAACATGGACATGTGTTCAAATGCACAGGTGTCTAACAAATTCAATCATGTGTACCAGACAGGAGCACAAACATGAGGATACATACAGGCATGGTGGGGTTAAATATAAACACACACAAGAGTGTATTTGCCTGCAACTGGGGACCCCCTATTGTTCCTCTTTTGTTCGTACTTAAACTTTTCTAGAAGACCACCCGTATGTTTTGTACACAGCTGTCAATCGGGGACCCTCTGTGAATCGCGGACCTTATTGTCCTCTATATTTCTGAGTCCCCAGTTGAATGCAAAAACAAACACACACACACAAACATTGAAAGTACATGTACGGTGTACACATACATGTACCCTTAAAATCATAAGGATACTGGTCAGAGTTAAAATAACAATGTACATGTACATAAACAAGAAAAGGACATGTACATGTTGTACACAAGTTCCTTTGAGCACCAGTGTGTGCAAGAACATCTACACATTACATGTAATCGCCATTGGCAATGACAATGCCAGGTCCTTTTTATAGCTTGACATGTTGTACTCAGACTGTGCATGAACATTATCAATGTTTGAAAATTTAAAAAATACAGGCATGGTGCTTGTATCGGTACCAAGCGTCAAGCATATGCACGAAACAGAACAATTTCATCTCTAATTTCGCACTGTAAATAAGCCCTACATGTAGATTGCCACGGAAGCTCTCATCGGGATAAAACAATGTTCGTGAAAAATCTTTGCTTTGTTAATTAGCCTTTATGCAAGCCTGCACTGTTACAAGATACACAAAAGCACGAATGTGTAGGCAGAGTCTACATCTCAAAATGCAGCAGTCATCAAAAAGAAATACTGACATGTTTTGACAGAATATTTTGCCCTAGTGTTGTTCCATGCCCATCTGTACAAACAGTGCGCAGGCAAAAGGCCTAGTAACATCTTACACCAGAGCACTGCACGGTACCACATCTATTCCCACAGGGAGTGTGTAGATATTGCATTTAACATATTTAACATGAGCAGAAAAACTGGTCATGCAGGTGATCCAAAAGATGAGAGGAAATGCCTGCTATCGACCTTTTACTCAGCATCCCTTTACACTGCATCAAACTCAACTTAATAAATACACGTAAGAAAGACTCAACATTTACTGGCCAAATCCGACAAAAAAAAAAAAAATGAAACATTTTTGTTGTTCACAACTTTGAATTTGTGACCCAACTGTGATAAAATGTGTTGAGAGCTGCCCGAGACTCTTCCGAGGCCGTTTGGAGACTCTTGCACATGGTAAAACAGGACTTTTCCACATTTTCTCATCCCATGCTACAGGTGTATGCCACACTGCGTGATCCACCCAAACATGGAGCTCACTTTGCTCAAGATTTCTAATACAAACTAAATGAAAAAACATCCTCAAAATATGGACTCAAAACTTTGTTTTTTGGATCCGCTCAAACAGCTGTCAAAATTTGTTTCTCAAAGTCTTCATGTACTTCCAATGTACAATACATGTGTTTTGCTCGGTCTAAAAAAACCAAAACAACATTTTTTAAGGAAAGTCACATTCCGAGGTTTTAACAAGTTGGGAAGCGAAACCCACTGAATTATTTCAGTCTCAAAGGCAATGTTGAAGTGCAAGAATACCAAACTAATCGTCAGATGTCCATGGCCTGTATGCATACAGTATCTCAAATGTACGGACTGTACAAAGTAGAAGACAAAAACAGTTACTTGTGACTCAGGTGAATTAATAAACAGTGACTTCACTGACTTGAATTATATAGAAAAAGAGGTGTGTACACCAGGATAATTACTTGAGACTTAACAACGGTGACTTCAGCCTGCATGAAAACTGACTAGTTTTTAAGACCAGTATAGGGTTTAATAAGCGATATCCTGTGCCAAGGGGCCCAGAGGAATCGTACCGCGACTAGCGACTAGCAATGCACACGTTCTCTACTCAGCATGGAATTTATAAATAGAACTGCTTCCAAGTTAATTGACTTGTACACAACCTTGTCCGGGGGGGGTTTCCATTTTAAACATCTCTTCCAAAGTAGCCCCATGAGGCACATTCTTCCCGCAGCCTGATTTCCCACAGCAGAGGCCAGCAATGTTTACATCATTCAAGCACTTGCTGTCAAATATGAAGCCAATCTCACCTCACAAGCAATGTCTGTTTTGACTGTATTAATGTGCTTTGCACTTAAAATATGACGCCTTCAGAAATTGCAAGGATACCGTACTAATGGCACATACATTGTACATTAATGTATCATGTACAGAGACCCTGATTTTGAGTGCACATATTGACAACCAACTTTGTTTTACGTGGCCCGGCAAACCCAGCAGGAAGTTCACTTTTGGCCAGCAACAGCATTTGCCTCAAAATGCACATTTCTCCGAATACTGTTTGAAAGCGAGAGACCATGTATAAAGTACATGTAGTAATATTTATCATCAGACATTGCAATGAATCCACAGTAGCTGTATGTGACTTTTCAACTCCATGTGAATTACCCTGTCAAATTGTGAAATAGAAAAAGAAAAGGTTCAAACTGTCATAACCTTTGTGACTGGATTGGCTATGCCACAACGGCAAGTACGTCTTCATATTTAATATGACGTACTTCTGGCAACATTTCAACACGAGTACCAATGTGACCCGCTCTGCAAAAAAGGGTAATAAATTGTGCAATTCCAAAATATGTTACAGCCTGTTCTATTTGGAGAGGGCAAAATGTCTTCAAAATGTGCTTTTGTGTTTTTTTCCTCTATTAGCTTGTATAACATTTATGTTTTCAGAATTTGTGACTACAAACATGGATACTGATGAATAAAGATGAAAAATTGATCGTTCAATAGGAAATCCTACATAGCATTGTATTTCCAAGTGCTACACTTTCTGAGCTCCTTCTTGAAAAGTGCTTTTATTGAATCCAAAAATGTGGATATACAAACGTCTAAATATCTCGGGAACGCAGTGCACTACAGGGGTCATTCATAAATCAAATTATAGCTTTTGATGTACTCAATCCAGCCATATCAAAAACTGATAACCTGTCTCTGGCGACTTATTACCCATTTTTCTAGAGCCGGTCACAAATTAGTTGACCCCTCTGTATTTACAGCGCATCAGTTTCATCACGCCTAATGCCTGTAATGTTGACATGTGTACCAGCATTTTCTTGATCATGTTCCCTACATTAGGGATGATGATGAAAGATGAGCGGTGTGCATTGGCAGTAGGTACACACTGATCATAGTGCAGAAATGTACATAAATGTGTCACAGACAGGCAATGAAAAAACAAGAATATACATGCACCAGCTCGCATTAGTCACTTTCTGTATGAGACTGCAGGGCCGATTTCACGAAACTCATCTTATCTTGAAACTTATCTTAGGGCTTAAGATGAGTCCGAAGTCTAAGATTGATCTTTGCTAAGAAGGGTTCCGAAATCGATTTCACCAAATCCATCTTAAGAAAGATGGGTCGTAACAAGAAATTTGGAGGCTGTTTCATGTTTCTTTGTACCCTTTTACAAAAACAGTCGTTGAAAATATACATGTATATGTAGGGAAAGCCAAAATACAGACGTGTGGGAAAGCAGTTGACTCACATGTATGTTTCCAATCATTTTGATAATTCCATTTTAAAATGACAAGTAGGTTTTCCCGTACCATTAGATATTGGAGCATTTCATTTTAATTAAAACTACCTTTTTGTAAATGATAACACTTTTCAAGTCTGTCCCTGCCAGCTAGTTTTCATCCCACAAAACTGTTTCTGAAATAGTTAGGACTTGTTGAAAGCATCCTAAAGTTTAGTGAAATTGATCCTAAGATGAGTTGTAAGATAGAATAAGATACCCTTCTTAACCACTTCCTTCTGGGGATTCCGGTACCGGACATGTATGCTTTATATGCGTGGCCGGGGTCTCCGAACTCGGACAAAGGGAATTGGGCCTTGTAACAAAAGACTGTACTCGAAACAAAAGACCAGGCTGCTGGGCATTACCGACATTTTTTCACTCTCAAAAGTAGAGATAATCCAGCCTTGTTTTGAAACAGTATACCACTGTTTGGGGCATTTACAGCGAGCGGATTACCACGGGGGGGGGCAAAAGCATTCCACCATCACAGGGATGAGCCACACAGCACCTCTGCATGCTAATCTGGCCCCTATTGAAAAGAGGTCAGCAGCATACTGTGCCAAGTTCGTGAACAAAAGAAAGTTACATAACACCGCACACTCTGGGCTCTTTTTACAAGGCTGCAGGCCTGACTGAAATACTCAGGCGTCAACAGATTTTGTTTGTCAGGCTAGAGTGGCCACAAGACAGTCCTTCGTTTGGATGTAAGCGTCCCGTAAATGAAGATAGGAATTTTTAAAGAATTTTGAAAACAATAAAAAATGATAAATATCCCGCCCCAGCATCATCAACATTGACAACTGCCACCGGCAGCAAGTGGTTAAGACACGTCTTAACGTTTCATGAAATCGGCCCCTGGTCACTTCGCTGCTGACAAAAACAGGTACATGTATGCACGTCCAAAGCCTTGCTGGTCATGGCATACATCACAAGACATGTTTTATCTCCTTGCCGGTGGGGGCGATTCACTGCAGGACATTTCTTCCATTACTCTGCCTAAATCTAGGACTTGGTAAATTTGCAGACCTATTTGTGCCAGTTTATACGTATACATGTATACAGGGTGACATGTCCCATGCAAAGTAACAATTGTTAGGGTTCTTTCTTAATTAATTTCTGCATTGAAAAGAGAAGAAAACAGCTGCGATCTACGTGCAACATAATTGAGAGAAGGGTAAAACTTTTGTTTATTAACTTCTAGGTTTGACTATAACTGACACTGCATAATAAAATATACATGTACACCATTAGCACATTTTTACTATTCTCATTAACATGTACATAAATGTACAGTGTACGTGTACATGTACATGCACATGTACATGTACTGTCCACCAACCAGACACCTACATGTACAGTGCCTGTTCCGCCCCAACTATAGTTGGGCCCGTCCCAACTAGAGTGCTGTAGTTGGGCCAGCCCAACTACAGCACAGAGGTCCAGGGTGCACGTGTCCAGCACATGCCAAAGTCACATTCATTGTTTACAGTGTCATGTCATCGATGAAGTGCCATATGATAGATGAATCGTGTCAAGTGTAAGATGCATAAACCTGGATAAGGTTGAGGAAATTTCTATAGAAGTTGGTCAACAATAGTTGGGCCAGCCCAACTGCAGCACTACTGTTGGGACTGTTCCCGACTACAGTTGGGACAGACGCTGTAGTCTGAGCGTGACACGCCTGTATGGTCTCTAACTCTAGTGCTTTCATTTTTCTTCAATGACAGGTAATCAAAGCAGACATCTTTGTATAGGAATGAAATTTAAGGGCTACAATTACAATGGCAGTTGCTGTCTTTGTAAATCATACAGAAGGTCCCTTCAAATATCAACTGGACTGTAATATACCGGTACATTTGAAAGCTGGATGGAATATTGAGGGAGTGTTCTTTCTTGCTCATTTCAGGCTGCAAATTAAGGGGCCTCAATTTTATGCAAACGGTCACAGCTACACGCTACTCATTATAATCATCGACTACAGTCACTTCTACTAATCCTATCTACATTCTCAATCGACGCCCCTGCAATAACAGTGGGGTCAGTCGTGTACAGGGGTCCCAGACAATGGACAGGGGCTGTAATTAGATCGGACAGGATGGCAGGCCATTCTGACAGCCAAAGGAAACGTAATACCTTCGACATATATCCCATTCTCATTTCGCCAGGCGCCTCCTGAATTATTCCATTCAGCCAGCATGGGTGCACAATGACGAGGGATTGGTACGTTCTGACATTTAAAGGGCCAACGACACCCAAAACTCACTGGGGAAAAGCTGTCACTTTGATTTATTTTCTTTCTTGGTTCTTAAGGCCGCCATTTGTAATCTGACATTTAAGCACTAATTAGACAAATTAGTAATACACGAAGTGGCTAGTACTTTAAACTAGAAAGAGTACAGAGGAACTGTAAGCTCGCTGTCTTCAAGTCAGTTTGGAGAAATGGTCAATTCTTCGAGGGATTGTGTTTTTAGATTTTTAACACCTAAATAATTTCTCCCATTACATGTAAAAACCTCCAAACCTCCAAAGTGTTTTTGCTAACGGCCTGCAGAGTTACGTAACATGTTAACACTATGCTGTAGAATCATGGCACATGATGAGCACTTCAAAATAGTTTGGGGTATACAAAAAGTCTATTGTGATATAACGTTGCTGTGCCCGCTCAGTCCTGAACACTGCACACCAAGGTGTCTGGTTCGAACACAAAATGGGGTTGTTTCAATCTCAAAAGACTTGATTCATTTTCTTTTCATGGGTAAGGATTATGATTTGAAGCTGTCACATGAGAAACCCCTTCCCTTGGGCACAAAAGACAAGGAAGGAATTTCTAGAGTACCCCCATGTGCGACATGTGATGCAACACAATGTCTGCAGTGACAGGCGCATACAAGCGTTATAAATGAACAAAGGCCAAACTACAAGCCCGGGCGATTACCGAGTTCAGGGGACAATAGGCCCCTGTACTGATGACCCTACACATACTGTTTACTTCTGTGCCTTCCTATGGTGCTCAGTGGACCGTACACCCCCCGCTGGCTCCATAGGAAAGTGCACATGTAAACAAAGTGTGCCGCCGTCAGTACACAGGGACTAAACCCCACAATGTTATTGGTCCCCACAATGTCCATGTTTTGGCACGAGTGCAGTGTCCACAACTGAGGAACAAGTATATGCGCCCAGCCAAATCTTTGTGCATGCACTAAATCTCTCCATAACAGACCAAAGCCTTGTACAAGTTTTGTGAGTCAGGTTCCTGAGTATCTATTGGACTCTCTCCCCTTCCAAACTGGGACGGCCGGCTTTAATACACTTGCGGCTTCCATGCGCTTAACAACCAATAATCTGAACAACTGCTTTTCCAGTCTCCTATCAATTTTGTTTGAGAAATTCCACGGCGCCAATTTCCTCAATAGTTAGCCAAACTGTTTACGTAAAACTGACGAGCCGCTTACCTGAACACGTAGACCAGGTTGAGTACAGCGAGAACGGTGTTGAGGTCTGAGGATGACAGCAACGTTGTCAGATGCTGCAAGGAAACGTTGAAAACATTCAAAGAGAGAATGAAAATGATTCAAAAAGTGCCTGTTATGATTTGAATCTGATATCATGTCCCAGATCATAAAAGTATGATCTGATATCAGTCATTTTCCAAGCACTTTTGGTACTGATCAAACCGAAAGCATAGGAAATGTTGTGGTAAAAGTCCCCAAAAATGAAATTCCGCCAGTATTTTTACTCCCACTTTTGTGCTCACTTACTGCATTTAAACTATGAGACTGCATATTAAAGTGACTTTAGTGCATGAACATGTGTATGTCTGATCAAAGATTGATAACGGCTGACCCAAGCTGATCTCGCTAGTAAAGTTTTTTCTCTGACAATTTCTTTGGCCTGATTTGACGCACTGATGTCTGTTTACTCTCTAAGCCTTTTCCATTAAGATTCTTTCAGAATCCAAGTCATGGAGGTTTCACATCCAGCTCATCATGGGGTAGGTAAGACCAAAGAGAACTGGTGACTTTCCAATACACAGAACGCACATTATCCCTGCCTGTTCCATAGCTATTCCAGAATGCCTTGTGCTGCACCGACCGATATTTTCTCAGGACAGCAGGTTCTGTGGATTGCCTTCTCTTTGAATCACTTCAAGGCAAGACTTATAGTTGGTTGGGGGAGAAAAGAAGCTTCCTACCCAACCTTTTCCATTCAACTGACACAAGCCATTTACGATGCATGCAATATTGCGCATCTCATTCACAACTTCCAAACCAATCTTACTGCAGCATCTCCATCAGTAACCCCCCACACTTATACTTTAGAGCCCAAGGCTTCGACCACTCTCCGCCGAATAAGGCATTTCACCTGGATCCACCGATCCGCTGGCCCAATGCCACTTACTTCGATGGAATTGTAGAGGTGCCTGGAGAAGCTGTGCTCGATGAGCAGCGCGGTGAAGTTCAGGACGCTGTGGACCAGCTGCTTGAGCGGGGCGTGACCGGGCAGGTCCAGCGCCAGGTGCCAAGGGCAGTCGGGCGTGGTCCGGCAGCCGTCCTCCAGGACCGAATCAAACCGGTCCAGGACATCCACCCAGTGGAACAGTTCACACTGCAATAAAGGGAGGCACGGAGTGGGTAGTGTTACCCATGGCTGTCCAGTAACGGCAGTTAGTTCCCGCCCCCCGGGCACTGACAAGCCATTCCCACTGACAAGCTCTACCCTAAGTCTGTGTCCCCTCTCCATTTCCTCTGCCCATGCCTCTCCACAAAGAATCTGTTACCCTTACACGATCTACTGTAAACCTCTGCAATTGAAAGCACCTGTGTGTCCTTCAAAGCACCAGCGTATTTTAGAAAGACCGATGCATTTTGGAATAAATCAGCTTGGATTAGCAGTATTAACCTATAAAGGGCTAGGTGCTTTACGGATGCCCAGCTCTGATTTCGTACTTAAATACTATGTCATGTGCAATGCCTCCTGACTAAGTATTTTAAAGTAACAATTCTATGTTTCTGAGCTGAAACATTTTAGTTTACAATCTCTACCTAATGTTCTGATTTACAAAAACATTGAACCTCAGGTACATCCATAAATTCAGCACTGCAGTTAAAGCCAATGGACTGGCTTTGCAGCATCCTTTCAACTCCGCATAGACAGTATAACTGTTTCATGCGCTAAAAAGTCTCCCGAAGCCTCATGTGTTACAGGGTACAACTGGGGAAGATCGAGGGGAGGAACCGAGCAGTGGTGTGTCTGCGGTTACCTTGCCGTGATTCCATGTGTTGATGTGCGCAAGCTCGGCGCTGAGATCGGCGCATGACTTCAGCTTCTCAATGAGGGCCTTGCAGTCACTGGGCTGAAATTATAAAAAAGATAAGAGCAAGTAAATGTTTCATCTGTAAAGTACATGTAAACCTTTTCCTGACCAAAAAAAAGTAACGACAGCCCAGCAAGGTAATTGGGCCAACAACGTACAAAAATAAATTTTATTTGGAGTAAATGCACTGCTCAACTTGTTACTGTCTTTGTGCACATTTTCATAAGGTGACATTGGCCACTGAGGATATTTTTCATGTTGGACCATAATTAGGGGCTTGGGGTGTAAGTTTACTGTTGTTAGTTGTACTGATTGGTTCATCTTTTTTTATTATAGGTTTAATTAATTAATTGAATTAGCAGCCACTTTTATTGGGGCTTCCCTGCTTTGCACGTAAGGTTGTATCAACAGAAACAGAAAAGCAAGCAACCTGTTCTAAGATCACCATAAGGAAAAACATGATGCTGGAGCATCTCTTTAATCACACGTCAAACCTCCACTTACAATTAAATACATGTAGACCTCTCTTTGTACGTCCCACATTTTTAAATAAGCTTTACCAACTGGGAATGCTGGAGATTTGGGGCTTAAATATTTCGACCCTGTACCTCTCGAAGCTGTGGTTTTTGTCAAAGCTTTGTGATTCATCAAACAGAGAAATGTTGCCCAATAATCTGAAAACCAATAAACTGAGGAAGGGACGTATTAATCACTTGGTGTCAAGACGGCACCAATTTGCTGCAATCAAACGTATGTATTTCTGGCCTACAAATCATCCAAAGAAGTACAGGTATTACCACTTCTGAAGAGCTCTTCTTGAGCTTGCTGCGGTCGACTTTCATGATGAGTTCCGTTCATCAAGTATCAACCGCGAAGAAAACCTGCACAAAGAGCCAAAACACCAGTTCATTGTGAACACATAAACATGGGAAGTTGACAAGCCTGAGCTACTGAACCTTATTTTAACAGTGTTACGTGTACACCAGTGACGGGTTCCAGCTGGCACATCTTAATAACTTGTGTTTCACTTAAAAAGAATACATTTTGAAGCAATAAATGTGTACTTTTTCATGCAGCACCAAATACAGAAGCCAAGTACATTAAGTTGTGGCTTATGACGAGTGTATGGCCCCACACAACAGTCCATTAACCCTAACCCCCTTGGGGTGTATGTAAAATCGTATTGAAATTGGAGGATTTGGGAGTATTAGGGTTAATCAGAATATCAGTGCACATACCACAGGAAAAATGATCTTGTACATTTACTTTAAAATAAACTTCGGTCCATTTAACATGTACAAGCATGGCAGCAAATTTCTTCTAGAAATTTCTCAGTAAGGAGGTGCATTGAAAACATGTTATCTAGCAGCTACTGCTCCTTTTCTGTTCAGAAAGTGAGCCCGAACAGTGGTAACCGTGTAATCGCCAGGTTCCTAATTTTGCCAATTATTGTCAAGTCTGATTGGTTTTCACAAGTGGCGAAACAAGGGGCCTGGCGACTCATGGACATTAATTGCCTTCCCAAACTGGACCAATACGTACATGAATTTGACCGACTTTTGCCCTCTTCCCTGGTTCCCCCTCTTTTCACTGCACATGGCAGTAGGACCATGGGTTCAACGGCATAAAACTTTTTCACATTTCATGTGCACATGCTCAGAAGATTTTAACAGAGGGGAGCAAATTCATAACAACAAAGTTGGGTAACGTTTAGCAAATGGATGCTCACATTCACAATTCTTATTGTTGTAGACAATTTGTTCCCTTCTACTAGGCTCTAGCTTTGTTCACTTAAGCCTACTCGGGCAGAGGCACTAAAATCAACATGGCGACGGAGCGGGAAATTGGCTTTAGGCCTAGACCTATCTGGCCCCAGATCTGGTCAATTATGGGGTTCACCAGCTAATGTGTTCCAAAAGTTTACACTTGCAGAGATGAGTAAATATGGCAAATTTGGAATGGAACAATGGGAAATGGAAGTTTTCAAATAAGAAGCCAACATAGGCTAACCAGATACACTGTAATTTGTAGGCCTAGTCCTATACCGGTGATATTGGTCATGGCTACCGACAAGACGTTGTTCACATGGTACAACTGACATTATTTACGTGTCAACATTTGGTTAAGTTCGACGCTTTGACAAGACCACACTTTGTCATCGTTACAATAATACAAAGTCAAGTCGTGTAATTCAACATATCAACCGACACTCGACAGAGATGACTATGACCGACCGACGTGACCATCATGACCATGCTCAAAATCAAAGCAACACCCAACGCTAAACTTTTCTAGTAAATTGAAATAGGGTCCATTGTAGAATGACACTTCCGTCATCCTTAGAAGATAATTTTTTTCTGGAAAATCTTCACGAGCCAAATTAATCGAAATCACCCTTGAATTTACGAAAATTGAATAAAGAAACACTCACATGCAATAAGAACTGTCGCCATTTTACTCGTGCAAGTCCGATAATGTCCCGGATGAACGATTCCGTACATCTCGTCTCAAGAGGGCGCAAACACAATAAGAAGGGCTGATAAGTGCTTCTGTGTCTGAAAATGTGGCTGCGGCTAATGGCTACGGTAACTTCCCCCTATATTAGACTAGTATTGACAGTCGCAGGCAATTCACTGGGACACCGCCTTTTTCAGCTTCAGCCGGCGTATGCCAGTGGATAAAGGGGGGGGGGGCGCACCCAGGCAACTGTTTGGGGATGCACATATACTTTCTTTCTTGAGGAGACTATCTTCATGCCTCGTGGAAGCTTTTCCTGTTGAAATGTCTGGCTTAACTTCCCTTTGAAAAAAGAAATCCTCAAAAAATACGATTACAGCCTTTAAACAACTGGGGTTTCTCCGTATTGTAAAAAAGAAATTGCCGCTCGAGTGTGTACACTCCTCAGGAAATGTTGTTGAAATAACTATTTTTCACTGTTATTTTTATGGTCTCGCATTTGCGTTTCCGTATGCATAAAAACAAGTTGAGGATACAACATAGTGATAATAGCGACTCCTTTTTTCCAAAATAATACAAACATAGCTAAAGATGAGGGCGCACTTGATAACTTTACCTAGGCTATTTTGTCTGTGGTTGCACTACACCAACTACGTGCCCATAGAAAAAGGTGCAAAATCAGACAGAAATATCGCTCCTAGGCCTCGATGAATCTCGGAAAATCGAAGAGGTTGGCCTCCGCTTTTTCACTGGAAATTCAAGATTATGGCCAGAAGATCACTTTTCGTTTCAATTTTATGGGGACTAGCCAAGTAAAAATTTTTTATTGGCCTTTCCCTTAAGATACCCCCAAATAGTAGTAAAATTATGCGCTCAGCTCTGAATGTAGCCGCCCGCCTCTATCCAAAATAGAAGAAATACCCCGAACTGGAAGCTATCAGTCTCAAATTCTGGATGTATAGAAATATTTCTATGATCCCTCCTGATTATGCCACGTCTTATTATAAAACCCCCTTGGGATTTCAATTAGCTCGCGCGCAGAACTACAACGATTTGGTGGAATGCACCCCTAGGCTGGAATCATTATTTATTGGAACGTATTATGATTAATCTTAATATTTTCCTTGCATCACTGTTCTTTATGCCTTCCAGGTCAAAACCTGTCATTTGAATCACTTTCAATAAAACAACATTAAATAACACTTTTAAAAAACTGCTAAAATCATATTTAGGGTCCCTCTGTTCTCAATGGTCCTAGTGTGAGCTGTTTCCGCTTTTCACAATCTTGATAGAATAGTCAAACAATGGAAATCCCGGATTTCCATCTACATCTGTGGTACGCCTGCCTATCGGTAGGCATATTGTATTGAGGGTACTTTGCCAAATACTCCGACTTTGTCCAGTTCTTGAACTGAAATGAGTTCAATATAGTCTAGTCTCAAGCACTTTCACATTAGAAATCTGCTTGGAGTCATTAGCTTCGATTTGAGAGGTGGATGAACTTTCTGTCATCCACTACTACGTTCAAACCCCTTAGCCTTTTCTGCATTCAAACCACTAGTCCGGATCCCCCACAACTCCAATGAAGGCCCTGTGGGGTCGAAAATTCTGAACCTTAGCAAACCAGTGAGCACTGTGTTTTCTTACTTTGCCCCTACATTAATGAAAAAATGGGCTCTCTTGCGCAGTTTTCGCTAACCCTACTCCTAAAGGCCGACAATTGCATAATAGTTGGATTCAGAACCCGCCGACCCCAGTTAATGTCATTTTAGAGCGAAAAAAGGTAAAAACAAAAACCGACATCATTCTATTAACGACTGAGTTTTAGTGGTTTGAAAAAAGGGACTAATTTTTCCTGTCGACCCTAGATAAGTTAACTGTAATGGGCAATGGAACTTTAGACTTTGATTTTATCTAGTTTTTTTTCTACCTATGCAAAATTTCACGATTATAATTAAATAAGAAAGTCACTAGAATCGCCCAAAGTTTAACGGTAGAGTAAAAATGTTGTGTATTTTATTATAGAAACCATCAAACGTCGTACAGAAATAGAACAAAATAGTACAAACAATACTGGATACTGAGACACTGTAGATCTAATCCAGGTTGGCTGTGGCATGCAAGCATCATTAGAAAAGTGCTGAGTCATGCTGAGTCGGCACTTCCTTTGGAATGCGTTCTCTCAAGCATTATGCAGAATCTCCTTTCTGAAATATTTCGATTTGTGTAATTGGATGCGGAATGGCATAGATGAAACATTAAGATGTTTACTGGATAGCTCTTTTGTTTCCTAATTATCCTTGGACAACTTCGCCCTTGGGGTTCATGCCACGGACATCCTTCCTATCCCTTGTCCACTACAGAACGCACGCCAGCCCCCCAACCCCCTTTTCATTCTTTCGAGCATATATACGACCCAACATGATATGCTGAAGATGTTATCCTATTCACGTGTCTGTTATGATGCATTATTGACAGCCTTTGAACATGGCCCTTAAATTTGCTCGAAAAGCTCATTATCAGCGACAGGTGGTCGGAACGGGCAGGTGGAGATTGGGATGGAGTTACCGTGGACTCCGGAGCGAGGACCATGGTAGAGCCTCTGCTCGTTCTCTAAAACTAAATGGCATCACTGGCCTGATTGGTTTTAACTGGAACGCCGTCGGGACTTGTCCGTGGTAAAAGTTTAAAAAATAATCCAGTCACCCTAAAAACTATAAGCGGGCAGGGAAATTAAAATACACCTTTTGGGCTTTCAGGATTGAAAGAGGCTGTCAACAATCATGATTAACGCCCACAAAATTCATCGGTCACATGTCCCTTTCGAGTCGTGCAGCTTTCACTCAGATGAGTTTCCATGGAAGTCGGTGTCGGCTAATATCTAAGTAAAACAAGGCGTACCATTGCGTGGTTTTTGGTAATTAAAGCCATGTAGGGTCACAATCACGTAATCCCTACTCTTGATGAAAACTGCAACGTGTTGTTATTGCAATTGGTAGGCACGACGCTCTTCATTACACTGTCACTTCCGGCTTCTTCGTTTATTTGTACCGCCCAAGATCTTTCTGCCTATGATATATGGCATTCAAGACTCTGCACTGCACAAACGAACGGCAGTTCAAATAGTTTACCAAGGTATCGTTGGAGATCTGTGACATTGGTGGACGTTGAAATCGAGTTACCGGAGCGATTACCATGGCTGAGCCCCTGCTTGCCCTCCGCATTATCAAGACGATCATTGGTGTGATTGGCCTGATCGGCAACGCCACTGTAGCCACCGTTATCTGCAAGGTAAAGTTCATGCACACACTGACCAATGCTTTCATCTGCAACCAGGCCGTGGTGGACTTCCTCGGCTCTCTTTTCCTGATCCTAACCAGCAACACCCCAGCCCCTGACCCCTTTCTGGACGCCTCAGACAACCGGATAGCATGCCACCTCTGGCTGTTCAATCTATTCCTCTGGGCCTGCTTCACTTCCTCCACCTTCAACCTGCTGTCGGTCTCCTGCGAGCGGTACGTAGCTATTGTGTACCCGTTCAAATATGTCACTTTATACTCCAAAAAGTCTGTGGGAGGTATAATGGTGGTCATCTGGCTGTCGGGATTCATTCTTAACGGGGCCTATGAGGCAGCATTGAACACCTATAGAAATGGTCAGTGTTTCAACTCAGACGACTCCCTAGAGCTGGGAATAGTTTTCATCGTGGTCAAATTTTTCATCCCAGCGATCTTCATGTTGTTCGTTTACTCGCACATGACAGTAGAACTGAAGATAAGCGCCAATCGCATCGGTGCCATCGCCCCAACAGTGTCGGCCAGCGTGAATTCGACCCCGGCAGTCCCAGGTGGCGGCGCGATTGCGGCCCACTCAGAAAACGCCGAGCAGTCGCTGCTTCGGGCCCGCCGCAACGTCTTCAAGACCCTCCTGCTCGTGTTCGTCATCTTCCTGGTGTGTTGGACCCCAAATCAGGTCATTTTCTTCATGTTTAACTTTGGCTGGAAACTGGACTTCACCGGGGCCATTTACATCATTTCTGTTTCCCTCGTGGCAATCAATTCCTGCGCGAATCCCTTCATCTACGCGTTCAAGTACAGGCAGTTTAGACGAGCATTTCTCTCTCTTGTCGGAAGAAGAAGAAGCCAGGACAAAGATGGTACGGGGCCACTTAACTGAGAATCAAGTGACAACCGCAAAAGATTGACTCATGTGACCTCAACATTGAAAAAAGAGACAATCTTAAAGTACTCTTTACTTAATGTGGGAAAACAGGATTTTGCCCTTTAATGTAAAGCAAGTATGTATGTAACGTGTGCTCAGTGACTCGTGGAAAAGCCTCTTTAATGAACGCCCCTGTATCCGGGGAGAGAGCCCCTTACTCGTGTAAACAAAGGGTACATCCGCCTACTATAGGGTGGTGCCGCTCATGACACTTCCCAGGAATATCAGTAAATAAAGTATGAAATGAGGACTTCCGGTCCATGTAAACAGGGCTTACATTTTGGGCTGTCTGGGATATTTTAAGGGGATCAGTTGTTTACCTATTTGTAAATTGTAGAGACCACTTGCGGATTAATAGAATACCTTTGTTTAAGTACATTTTTGGCCGCCACCAGAGCTCTCAGTCTCCTCCGTCTTCCACCCTGCAGAGGTCGATCACAATAAATGGTTGCTGACCAGTTTGACCCTAAAATTACCTGTTTGGGAGATCAATGTGTGCGCTATCCGCATACTGACGGTAAGCTTGTAGCTTATCCCTTCTGGTAATGGGATTTGAGTTGAGTAATCAATTATTAAGAGGTGTATTTTCTGGCTGTTTTAATGATTGTTATTGGAACGTTCTGACGTGGGTACGTGCACTATGCATGCAACCAACTCATGTACTGTACATGCATTATTGCAGTAGCCTGACTGTGGGTGAAAGAGCACGCTGGCTTGGGGGTTTTCTTTTCCGTTTACTACCGTGGCCGGGCTGGGGTTGTGTTCACTACTGTAATATCATTCTGGTTGACTGCCGATGATAGTTCCTGATACCATCCTGGGCTGGGGAACCACTAAGGAATAAAAGCCTGGTCAAGAGCATACCGTACCCCTGTGGTGGAGGTGGAGTTCACACCCCCTCCTTGACAGAAGCCGACCTGCCCCTGTTCCATGACATTAAATCAAACTTAAGAGTGGTTTCTGATGAACAAAATAAAGAACCAAAACGTTGCTTTCGTCCCGAGTGCAGAAGGTCAAACAAAATAAGCATGGCTCCTCCCCGAGTGTTTGCGATAAAACTAGTGAATCATGGTGCCATGCAACAATAAAGTTAACCTCTCTGTGCATAATTATGTAAAATTATGTAAAAGACCAGCCTTATTTCTAAATCATGACTTCGTCGCCACTCAGGAGCGATCTCTGATAAGCAAAACACTTGTAAATGAGCCATATAGTGTTATGAAAATAGTTATGAAAATATTTTCCCTCACGGGACGATAGTATACAGTTAAATTTGGCTGTAGCAAAATTTTAATTTTATTGAGATCGAAGCCTTAGTGGAACTGAGTAACACCCGGAACTGGAGCCAAAATTTGAATTCATATTTAATTCCAAAGTTCCGCTGATATACCAATGGTACCATCTGATTGAATTACTATCGTAGCGCACCCTGAGAAGTTTAAATTATAGCATACTTATTTAAACACGGTAACAAGATGAAGATGTCTCTTAAACACTGTTAAGGCCTACATGGACTGGAAATGTTCAGGATCGTTTATTTCACATTTTTGCTCATACAGTGACCGTAGGCATGACGACCCAATGTCATTACCATGGCATCGGTTACAGGTGGTCGGTTTAATAGAAAGTTCTCCTCAACGGCACATCCCCATGGAAGAAAACCTGAAATAATTGCTAGCTATTGCACCATAATGCACAAGCAATATTATGCGTAGATCGTTACCAGATCTGTGACTGCCTCAACAAGGCACTTGACTCCAAGAGGACTGTTTCAGTCTACTTTTAACAAATGCGCAAGACTTTCTGTGCCCCGTGATTATTATTCAAACGCCTGTCTCAGGTTTCACAAATTTATGTGAAAAAGAAGTGTACGCTTGTACTGCCAGAGGGGCTTGGGTACTGGCTAATGACGATTCCGTCATTTACACAACTTCACAAGTTGGATGTAGGCCTCAGATGATAGGCGTTACACTATAAAAACTACAAGTCCCAGACGTTATACAACAATCTGAAAATTAATCAAGATAAATGAAAAAACACTAATTACATCATAACCCAAGTATGATCATGAGAAAGGAAGACCTCAGCCTCGGTAAGTACTTGTACATCTACATGATCATGATACATTGTGTGTATGTAAACTATAACATTAAAGGAACCAGGAAATAGAAATATTTTTATAAATTTTACTAAAATCTTTTGAAATTGCATCTTTGGGTTTCAATTAACCTTATTTTGAATTTTGGTTTTGCACTTTTAACCCATATTTTGATGTTTTATTATGCTAATGCTATTAGCATATTCATGAGCAGAACTATGATGTCATCCAAGGCACTGAATCTCTATGATGCACTGATTTGTGCTCAGAAAATGTCTATATTTTTTAACCAATGCTATGGCAGATTTCATTTTCTTTGGCAATTTATTACTAAGTATATGGCAATAATCCAGCAAAAATCCTTTTCACAGAAATGTTCACAGATAGCAAGTTTGGGATTCACAATTTAAACATGAAAACATGTAGGCCTAACCTTAACCATGTCTTCTTGGATTTACGTTACAGCAAAAGCGCCCTCACTTGTCCAGAAATGCTTGGTCAATTTTTAATGTTTGAAAAAGTGCACCGTTCAGTTCCCGTAACTCAAAAAGATGTCAAACAGTCTTTATACAAGAAATATTCCAGAGATACACAAAAGGTGATTCCAAGGAAAATTAATTTCCTGGTTCCTTTAAACACACTTAACTGACAATCTTATGAACCTTTCCAGATTTTCACCGTTTCTTTGTAGGGTTAAATAAAACTAAACTCACTATAAAGGGCTCTTTTAAGGTCTTTAAATCACAGGAATGATCTGGGAATCACATTCAAACTCTAAAAATACAGCTTGGTTATTGAGAAAGTTTTATCGTGGTGAAATTAACAAATCTGAAACTGCTGATTGCATGGCTGAGAAAGCATGTGTTACAATGCATCCTTGTACGCAAAGTGTATAAGGCACAGCTATCCAAATGCCCTGCGGATGACCTTATGCTAATTAGGTTGAACCTCCTAAATATGATGTTATCGTTTGCAGACATGTAATACAAGATCAAACTATTAAAGTGTACCAGAAAAGAGATTATAGAGTGAATTCCAAATATTGTGGCGGGATTAGAGAAATGTTTTAAAGAAACCACAATATAATTTTGATTTAAATTTAAACAGAGATTTTGCTGCACAACTGCTACAGCAACGTACATAGTACAGAGGTAAATTAATATCATGAACATGGACCTCTATATAGATTATATCGTGTTCGCCCCCCCCCCACTTTTCAAATTTTCGTGTCATCTTCCCCACCTGTCCCCATCCCCCCCCCCATATTCCGGCACAAATTTACGCCACTAGTAATGTACAGTATGGCGCATACCGTCATGGTGTACTAGTTCGCTGAGGCTTCATTGCAGAACTCAGATTGTGGTGAAGATTGGGATGGAGTCTGCGAGGATTTTGGGGCAAGGACCAATCGAGTCGCCCTCCAAAAGAAAGCTGGCGGGGACATAACAAAATCTTTTGACTCTTAGTATAAGAAGCGTCTGTCGTGATGAACCCGCAAATTCATCGGTAACATGTCAGCGCGAGTCGTGATTTTACTCCAGTACTGCTTCAAGTTCAATCAGACGAATTTCCATGTCAGTCAGTGTCAGCGGATATCGAAGTAGATATATAGACGCTCAGTCGGGTGGCTTTTAGAAATGGAGGCCCCATTGATACTATGAACGCCATTTCCTTCCATGGAAATTGCAGCGTGTTATTGAAATTGCTGGATGTGCCAGGGCACACGTCAAATCAAACAAAAAATAACGGCAATTTACAGCGAACTAACGTACCTGTCATGGTCGTGTATCTGCATGCGCAGTGGGCGTGGTTCAAAAGTGGCATCACACGTGAGAACTGGATACTGCAATATACTGTGTCGACTCCACGGGCGCGCGCGACGGAGTTCAACATAGAGAGCCTCGGTTTCGATGCTGATATGCGCAGAGAGCGCTAATGTGAAATCCCTCTATAGGCTTTTCATCGTTTAGTATTTACTACTCCGGATTTTGCCGCCCATATACTTATGAGACTGCATGTAATAGACTTGCCCGCCCGACCAGCCCGATCGAACTGCTCAGTAAATCGTTTACCCAGGTACTGTTGGAGAGCTCAGAGTTTGGTGGAAGTTAAAATCAAGTCACCAGAGCGAGGACCATGGCTGAGCCCCTGCTTGCCCTCCGCATTATCAAGACGATCATTGGTGTGATTGGCCTGATCGGCAACGCCACTGTAGCCACCGTTATCTGCAAGGTAAAGTTCATGCACACACTGACCAATGCTTTCATCTGCAACCAGGCCGTGGTGGACTTCCTCGGCTCTCTTTTCCTGATCCTAACCAGCAACACCCCAGCCCCTGACCCCTTTCTGGACGCCTCAGACAACCGGATAGCATGCCACCTCTGGCTGTTCAATCTATTCCTCTGGGCCTGCTTCACTTCCTCCACCTTCAACCTGCTGTCGGTCTCCTGCGAGCGGTACGTAGCTGTCGTGTACCCGTTCAAATATGCCACTTTATACTTCAAAAAGTCCGTAGCAGGTATAATGGTGGTCATCTGGCTGTCGGGATTCATTCTTAACGGGGCCTATGAGGCAGCAGAGAGCACCTATAGAAATGGTCGGTGTTTCTACTCAGACGGCTCCCCAGAGTTTGGAATCGTTTTCATCGTGGTCCAGTTCGTCATCCCAGCGATCATCATGTTGTTCGTTTACTCGCACATGGCCGTAGAACTGAAGCGAAGCGCCAATCGCATCGGTGACATCGCCCCAACAGTGTCGGCCAGCGTGAATTCGACCCCGGCAGTCCCAGGTGGCGGCGCGATTGCGGCCCACTCAGAAAACGCCGAGCAGTCGCTGCTTCGGGCCCGCCGCAACGTCTTCAAGACCCTCCTGCTCGTGTTTGTCACCTTCCTGGTGTGTTGGACCCCAAATCAGGTCATTTTCTTCATGTTCAACTTTGGCTGGAAACTGGACTTCACCGGGGCCATTTACATCATTTCTGTTTCCCTCGTGGCAATCAATTCCTGCGCGAATCCCTTCATCTACGCGTTCAAGTACAGGCAGTTTAGACGAGCATTTCTCTCTCTTGTCGGAAGAAGAAGAAGCCAGGACAAAGATGGTACGGGGCCACTTAAGAATCAAGTGACAACCGCAAAAGATTGACTCATGTGACCTCAAGATTTAAAAACAAATGAGACACTCTTTACCTAAATAATTCCAAACAAATCGTCGTTTCCGTCTTTGTCTCTGTCCGTCATCTTGCATTATAAAGGTATATAATTTAGGTAGTGTTTGGGTCACTTTCTAATAGTTCGTTCGTTTACGCACTATTCATCAAAAATTCATCTGGTCTAAGTTCACAATACGAATTCTACTTCATTTCATGAACTCTAATCAAAACCATTGAGCTCTGTGAAACATCAGTCACAACTTTGGTATTATCGGGGTACACTTTTTTATTTTAGGATGAAAATCAATGAAAGTTGTGTCATCCATATACATTTAAACTGCTCTTTGATTCATAATTTTATACAATCTATAAGGTACATAGCTTGAAGTAAATTAATCAGTGATAAGTACCCATATATAATAGAATGGGCCCATTGTATCGTAAAAATAAAAATATATCTTTCAGTTGAAAAATCTTTCAGTTGAAAAGTCTTTAAATCCTTTCTCAAAACAACTCTCCCATTCATTATCATTTTATAAAAGTGAAATCGGCAAATTAACAAAATCAAGTTTAATAGATTATGGGCAAACTCATTTCTACCGAATATAATTGCTTCATTGTCCAAGTTGATACAATTTTAGCGTTGTCTTTGATCCAGGAAACCACTGCAGACCAGAAGGAGACAGTATAAGTACAAGAATAAAAAGGTGGAACCGGATAAGAGCACGGAGTTTCGTCTTCGGTTTGGAAAAAGTACACAGTTTCGCTGTAAACTTATCAATTTTGAACAAAAAAACTATTTGTGCCCAAAATTCTATAGATAGGTTGATATTGGAACCACCTTAACCTAATAACAATGGTTTACTGAAAAGGAATATTTAAAATTAGGAAAAAATACCAGAAGACCGTTCAGAAAGACCATGGTCAATTTGAAGCTTGTTAATTTTTTTATTCAAAGTCTGCACTACAAGAATTCTGCGATAACTTTATCACTTAAGAGAGTATTTCAATTAAACGGATAAAAGGTGATTGTAGGCCTATGTTACAATTTTCAAAATTCAACACACTTGGAAAAGCTGAATTGACAGTCCTCCATAATCAAAGAAATCGATTCTTTGATTAAACTTCCTCTTGAAATCCCTACAAGAGAGAAATTTCCCATTATCATCATGTAAATCATATTATCATATAAATTTGAGTCCCAATGCTTGTAACAAATACATTTCCTGCCCACATTGATTTTGGCATTATACCAAAGGGTATTAACCTGAATATCTTGGATTGTATCAAAGTAAATTAATTCCTGTCAGCCTGAAACTCAACAGCCAATAACTGCAATTTCTGTTAGTGTTCTGCATATCCAGAATATCCTCGAGATATTTGTAAAGAAGATGCTAACTATGCATCATTTGATTGGATATTCAGCGGCTGGAGAAGAGCTTGAATGCAGCACACTTGTTTTGGAATGACATCACAGATTTCTCTTGACAAGGGAAATTTCAGTTGCATAAACTTAAAAATCGCAACGGGACAAAATTACAGTTTTAAACAAAAATATGCATTTTCAAGCATTTGGTTAACGTTGCAATGCACATAACCCTTGAAGCTTTGTCTTGTGTCATGGATAGATTCAATAGCACTGCCTCTGTAAATTCGGTGTCGTATAAATTTGATGGTGTACCGACTGTGTGTGACGTTTTTACCTTATTTGTCCTGATATGAATTGGCTGCTGATTTATTGTCTAGCGACGTCAGTGCCAAAAAAAAGTTTGAAATGAACTGAGCATCTTAGCTGTGGAGGTTGTGCATGGCAGCTCATCTTTACAGTAACTTCTTTTGTTGAGAGGGATAACACAAAAGGGCTACTTACATGTATCCCTGTGGAACAAATTGCTCTTATTGGAAAAGTGGCTACCACGCAAAACCTCTATTAGAATTTGGAACAGAGCCACTTGGACTTGGCTTTATTTCTCATCTCCTGCGCTTGCCATCAAGGCTCTGCGCATGTGTGGTCGACGGAGCTTCCATTATTAAAACGCCATCCCATTGTGCGTATAACAATAGCAGGTCTGGGCTGTAGCAGCCAATTACACGTCTAGTTTTACAAGGCCGGTGCATACGTGAGTGGGCGAGACAGTAAAGCGAATTTGACGTGGCAAAACATTAGTGAGGCGAAATTCGCTCGGCAGTTGGGGTGTGTTCAACTTTTGCAAATTAGAAGCGCGTCCATGTTCGCTTTCGCGCCGAGATTGAACTGGCCTTCAGGACTACTTCAAACGTGGCCGAGATTCTGCTGCACCTAAAGGCCAGTTCATACTTCTGGCGTATGCGAAAGTGAAGCGAATTTGACATCACGAAAAATTGTAGTGAAATTTCGCTCGAGTTGAAATGTGTTCAACTTTTTTGAATTCGTAACACGAATATATTATGATTTGACGTCACAAATTCGCGTTCGTTTTCGCTTTCCCACAAAGTATGAGCCGGCCTTCATGCCGTTAAATTTCAATCTACACAAACGCGGCGGAAGTCCGGCAGCCGCTTTAAAAGACAATTTTCTTCCAAAGCAAATTTTATTGAAGGTGATATCAACAAAAGAGTTTTGAGTGTCTTTTATGACGCCTGCTCCTCCTTTGTCACAACATACCGATCTTGTCTGAGTTTAGTCAAGAATACAGGTTACCTAGATATGCATGATGCAATGCTCAAAACTTTGGGAAAGAGATTTGGAAAGGCGTGTCAAGTTTCCAAAGCGACGTTTTGAATTTTAATAGTCTCTCTCTATTTTTTTATTCTACGATTTTAAGAGCAGAACCGTTGCAGAAGAAATCTAAAACTCTCCAAGGCACATACACCGGCGATTTAATTCCAATTAATCACACACAACTTTAGCAGACGTACGCGTATTAACGCCTATTATTAGACACGGCAAAATGTTTGACGTTTGAAGGGGTAGCAGTGTGTAGCACTCAATTCGACGTCAGTGCTGCAGAGTCAAAACCTTTGATGCGAGTACGTGTTGATGCCCTACGCTTTTTATGTTCTATAAATGCCGAATACAGCGTATCTTCGCCTGATGTGAACCGTGAACAGAATTCACGTTCGCCCCCTGGGCGTTTTTGAACTCCGGTTTTTATGGTGTTCTATAGCCGCCAAAATTACGTCTCGTCGTCCTGTCCCCTCGACGCCACAACACGACGCCATGACGGCTCCGTCACTTCGTGCCGTCGCGTCGTGGAGTCGCCTCCTTTCTCCTTACTTTTATGTTGTGTTTAATGCATTACGTCGTGCCGTCGTTGGGTCCCGTCCTGCTGTTGTGCTGTCGCGTCGTGTCGTCGCATCCTACTCTTGCCGTCACCTCATTACTGGTGTAAAAAGGGGGCGCCTTTAGAGCAGAGTTTAGTTTCATACCAATAGAAACATTTCATGATAAAGTCTTGTAGGCCCTATAACGGACATTATTCCTGGTCTTGTGACATACGCCCTCTGTTGGCCTTGGTAATCACTAGCCATTTTTTAGAAACAGTAAGGAATGACGGTACGATACGATGGACGACAACACGACGCGACGGCAAGACATCAGGACGCGACAGCACGACATCAGGACACGATGGCCCATCCCACACTGTATAAAAACCATACAATGACAGGCGGCGCGACGGCACAACGTGACGCTACGACGGCAAGGAGCGACGTCATGGCGGCACGAAACGACGGCATCAAGAAACAACACGAAGCGATGACAGGACGCCACACCAAGACGGCATGACGCAACGCATTAAACACAGCATAAAAGTGATGAAAAAGGAGGCGACGCCTCGGGACGGGACGACGCGACGCAGTTTGACGGCTATAGAACACCAAAGATTTTACATCTATGCAGCCCTTAGACCTCTCGCATTGCTCATTCTATTTGTATGGCCGGTCAAAGTTTGCAGAAATATCACTCACGGTTGACATCAGATGACCAAAAAATGCACATTGATTTGCCCCATTCCTTTTAAGAAACTGCTCATTTATCTTCATTAAGATAACTCCTTCGAGCACTCGAGCTTGAGTTTTGATGATGATTTCCAGGACTGTTTGTCTTCACTAAACACGAAGTACATCTTAACTGCTTTTAGAGAGGGAAAAACAAGATGGATAGGCCATAACTGCGTGAAGGGGAACAAATGCGTGAAACAAGCAGGTGTGTGGACGTGGGTGGGTGGATGCTTGGGGGTGTGCATGTGTGCATCCGTCCGTCAGTTTTTCCACTGTAAGCAGAGGGCTCAACATAGCAACTTTAGAACTGATACGTGGGTTTGTCTTTGAAGCGGATCGATTTTGGAGCACGTAAATAAAAAACCAAGGTCATTACGGTTAAAGCACTAGAAATGGTTTCCCTTCAAATTTCGAGGAAAAATTGGACTATATCTTCTTCAGAGTTATTTAGATTGGCCTTGGTGTCCTTCAAAGGCCCTTGGATGCTGGAGCCCGTAGGTCAAAGGTAAAGGTGATTTAATAGTTAATAGCAACAACAATAATTTCCACTTTCAATCAAGAAGAACCGGGTATATCAACTGCTACCTTGGTACGTGGATTGATTTAGGTGTCCTCCGGAAGCATACTGAATGTGGATTTAATAGGTAAGGATTTAGAGCCACTGTGGTTAAAAACAGAAACGGTTTTCCCAATGGAGATTGGGAAAATCATAAATATTATTGATGCGGACGGGACATTTGTCATTTTAAGCATACCTTTCCTGTTTTCTAATGAATGGCCAACGATATCCGGTTCGTGACTTCGTCACAAAGGTGAACGCACCACGATTCCCAGCCTCCCATTGGACGATCGCAGAAGTTGCGCGTTAACTCCGGTTCCATGGTTCCACATAAACGGCGATCGATGCATGTTACCCTATGTGCAGTGCACCTGTGCAGTGGGCGTGGTTTAAACTGAAGTGACGTCACACTTACGAACTTCCGGATACAGTGGAAGATTTGATCGAATGTGATTTGCTGAAAGGTTTGCGAGTATACCATGTGGCATCAATCTCTTCAGAGTAGTGATTCTAAGAAGAACTGGTGAGTGGCTTTTAGAACCACCACTCTCATGGCAGAGATTGATTCCAAATGGTGTACCTGCAAGCCATCTCGCGGTACAGCTTCCACCGCACCATTCAGAGCTCCGGATCTTACCAATGTAATCTGAAGAGGTTTGGGGAACAAATGGACATTCTTTATGTGGAAGACTACTGTACTGAGATAAATAAGGGATAGGAAGTTTTTTTTAAAAACAAGAATGGACACAATCACTTTAGTTACTGTTTCGAGAAAGTATATTATTTTTTTTCTTGACTCCTAAATAATTCTGACGTGAATGTGATCATTACTCGGAGCATCTGCATTCCCATTACAGTCAATATATTCCGCATCTGCCAAAACCAAGTCTATGATTATCGGCCCGAAACAAACGATCGCCTCTGTTGACCTTAATATCGTTATTAATAGCGATACAGTTGTTCGGGGAGGCCGTTACCATGCACACTTTGAGTTGCACAACAGAATGTTGAAAAGAGCCGCCAAATTAATTCTTAGTTGTCCAAACCGAACTGCTTCTACTGATACGTTTAATGAATTGAAATGGTTAAGTTTTGCCGATAGAATTTGTTTAAAAAACATTCTAGTGTATAAG